ACCCGAGGTCAATAAATCCAACATCAGTAATTTCTTAGAAATCATTAAGCTTTCAAGCTTTTAATTTTTCATCAAAATTCCATAACTCGGGCTAGGGACTTCGGAATTTGATTCCGGGCATACGCCCAAGTCCCAAATCACGATACGGACCTACCGGAATTTTCAAAATACTGATCCGGGTCCATTTGCTCAAAATGTTGACCAAAGTCAACTTAGTTGAGTTTTAAAGCTCTATTTCCCATTTTAATCCATTTTTCACATAAACACTTTTCGGAAAAATGTACGAACTGCGCACGCAAGTCGAAGAATGATAAATGGTGCTTTTCGAGGTCTTAGAACACAAAATTACTTATTAAATTTAAAGATGACATTTTGGGTCATCACAGATTGCATCCACCACAGGAGAATATTTCTCCATATAATCAATGCCAGGTCTTTGCGAAAATCCTTGTGCCACAAGTCGTGCTTTATATCTAACGACTTTATTTTTATCATTTCGTTGTCGCACAAAAATCCATTTGTATCCCACTGGCTTTATTCCTTCAGGTGTTCGGACTATACTTCCGAATACTTCACATTTTTCAAGTGACACTAATTCTGCCTGGATAGCGTCTTTTCATTTTTGCCAATCATTTCTCTATTTACATTCATCGACAGATCTTGGTTCAAGATCCTCATCTTGTTGCATTATTTCAACAGCAACATTATAATAGAATGAGATTCATACCCAACATATATCCCCAATCTTCTTTGGGGTCCCATCTTTGTGCGTTGTGGTGGAGCAATTGGAACATATACTGCACATCCAAATATTCTAAGATGGAAAATATTTGGCTCCTGACCAAAAGCCAATTGTATTGGGGAGACTTTATGATAACTTGTGGGTCTGATCCGCACAAGAGCTGTTGCATGCAATATAGCATAGCCCCATGCCGAAATGGGAAGTTTTTTTCTCATAAGCATTGGTCTAGCAATTAATTGGAGGCGTTTGATCAATGATTCCGCTAGACCATTTTAAGTATGAACATGAGCAATTGGATGCTCAATTGTTATCCCAGTTGATATGCAATAATTATTAAAGTCCTGGGATGTAAATTCACCAGCATTATCAAGACGAAGTGTCTTAATTGCATAATCTGGAAACTATGCTCTTAATCTTATTAATTGAGCTAGTAACCTCGCAAAGGCCAAATTACGGGTTGATAACAAGCACACATGTGACCATCTTGTAGATGCATCTATCAAAACCATATAATATCTGAATGGTTCACATGGAGGGTGTATGGGCCCACATATATCACCCTGTATACGTTCCAATAATGCAGGAGATTCAACTCCAACTTTAATTACAGATGGTCTAATAATCAGTTTTCCTTGAGAACATGCAGCACAAGAGAATTCTTTTGTTTGAAGAATCTTCTGGTTCTTCAATGAATGACCATGTGAATTCTCAATTATTTTGCGCATCATATTATAATCGGGATGGCCTAACCGGTCAAGCCAAATAATAAAATCATTAGTAAACTCCTTGTTTACTATGGCATGTGATTCAACTACACTAATATTAGTGTAGTATAATCCGGAGGAAAATGCGGGAAGCTTTTCAAGCACATACTTCTTTTCCGCTTTTATTATAGTAATATAAAGGTATTCAACTTTTCCTTCATTGGTGGTCTCAATATGATAGCCATTTTTGCGAATATCTTTGAAACTCAACAAGTTTCTTTGAGACCTACTACAATATAATGCATCATTAACAACCAATATAGTTCCTCCTGGTAGTAATACAGTCGCTCTTCCAGAGACCTCAATTAATTTTGTACTACCAGATATTGTTATGATATTGACTTCTTTCATAATTAAATAAGAGAAATATCTCTTATCTTTTAATATGGTGTGCGTCGTAACACTATCCAGAAGACATATTTCTTCTTTATTATTCATACGCCCAACTAAAGATTGGGAAGTTTTCATATCCTTCAAGAAGAAAAAAATAATACATCATAAGTAATATTGAAAAATTTAAGAATAAAAGAAACTACATTTATGAAATTAAATACTGATAACATAAAAAGTTTTATTCAAAATATGAACTTCATAAAAATAAATACATTTATTCTTATAAGTTTTCCCAATAATAAGTCTTCACTTATGATGCTCAAAGAAGTCTCCAGCTTCTAAATGAGTAATATCTGCAAGGCCTTCAAAAATATCATCTTTATAGGCAAGGTTTGCTTCAACTTTATCATGATTATTCATAGGGCCCGCCTCAACATCATTTTGAAAAGTCAAGTGAGTCTCAACTTTATTTTGTTTCCCTTTTATAGATG